CACTGTACCCCCAAAGTGCATCAATGTACACAGTTACCATTCAATAAAAAAAAAAAAAAATGAATTAAAGTGTCTAGCCTTTCTCTTTATCATATATTTAAAGAAAATCAACATCATCAAAGAGAAAGACTTGGAAAACTTTTTGTCTTAATTTTTAAAAGACTAGGAGGAACAAACATGTTAACCAACAAAAAACAAAGATAATTCACAAAACAGAAAAAATAACTTAAAAATTATAATCAGAAAAATTTAAAAATTAGTAAGGAAAACTGCTTTTAAAAAGAAAAAATCAGGCAGCACCTATGGCTCAAAACGGTAGGGGACCGGCCTGATATGCCGGAGATGGCAGGTTCAAACCCAGCCCAGGCCCAAAAAAAAAAAAAAAAAAAAAAATCAAGTAAGTAATTTCTTAGGAGTAAAAATTTGATTTCTAAAATGTAAAAACTTTAAAAATAAAAAATAGAATCTTAGTCTATTTGGGCTGCTACAATAAAATACCTCATAGATCCAGTCATTTACAAACAATAGAAATTTATTGTTCACAGTTCTAGAAGCTGAAAAGTCCACAATTAAAGAGTCAGAAGATTCAGTGTGTGGTAAAACCTTGTCCCTCATAGATGACACCTTCTGTGTCTTCACAGGGCAGAAGGAGCAGTTGATTCCCTATAGCCCCTTTTACAAGGGCACTAATCCCATTATGCAGCAAAGATTCTTGACTTAATCAATTCCTAAGGGCTCCACCTCTCAATATTATCATGTTGGGCATTATGTTCCAATATATGAATTTGGGTAGGGGGAGGACACTAACATTCAGACCATATCATAGAGCAAACAGAAAAAATCCACTTAATGATGCAAGAAAAAAGCAAGGCCATTCAAGAAATACAACAGAAACATAAAAAGATAGAAAATGTAAGAGAAGAGAGAAAAGAAAACCAAATCCAAAAATTCTAATATCTAAGACAGAGCTGAAAGAAAGAACACCTGAAGAAAAAAAATACAAGAACATTTCTCAATCAAAAAAAAAAAAAACTTCTTACACTAAAGTAAGATATCAATAATAAAGACCAATGTACACTGGAAGTGGAGGGACAGAGGATTATATGCATATCTCTATACCACCTATCCATTCT